CATTCACAATTTTACTTGTACGCTGCGGGTCTTGCAGGCTATGGTGCAGAGGCTCGGTTCGACCCCGTGCTTGAGCACAGGACTGCCGTATGTTAGCGGAGTCTTTGAACGGACCATTCAAGTAGGTATTAAGCTGTTCTTCGAGCTGTTGAAAAATGAATCAGAGTTTCTTCAACAACACAAATTGCGCAATTCACCTTGTAGTAAATATCCTTCGTGGTCTCAGCCTTCTGATTCCAGATTTCAACAGTAGGGAGAGATACAGATGTGCTGCACCTTTGAAAGGTGGGTGAAGTCCGGATGAGCTCGGCAAACAATTGCTTCTCAGCAAGGGTATGAACTGGTAGTACAGGCATGCGAGTACCCTGCATCTTCGCAAGATAAGCTTGTTTTTGTTCCGAATCAGTCTCTTCATTGTATGGTTGGATCTTGACAAGCTCGCGAACGGATTTCGGAATTTGAATGATCCCAGCACTCTGTTCCGTCTTCTTGTAAATATTTCCGTTGACCCACGCAAGCTGAGCTGGAAGACAATCATAGTGCTCGCCAAGCATGATCTCAAGCTCGTGGATTTCATTCAGCAGCCAGATGCAGTTATGACCCTGAAATTTCTGTCCGGTTGAGTTGAAATATCCAACCTAAAATGAGTCAGAAATGAGAGGGGGAAAAAATAGAAGGGGCACATACACGCAAGTTATGGCAGAGAATGAAGTCCAACAAACATGCAATCATATGACGAACTGAAGCTCCATGGGATGGCAGCTTCGAGAGCAGATGTGTGTGTACAGCGCCCTCAACATCGCTTGTCCCACGCCTACATCGATAAATTGGCAGACCACCTGCTTTCTCGTCAAAGCCAAGGCAAGTGTAGAGCTGTACACCAGGAGGATCGGAGACATAGCCATTCTTAATTAGCTCCAGAATATTCTTCGCGATTTTCCAGGCAGCAGTGTTGAAAAGTGGGAGCCCAGACTTTGCGTCTTTAAGAGGGCCATAGGTCATGAATACCCGATGTACCAGCGGATAAAGCTTCTCTGCAGGAGGAATGGTGCGACGACAATGGCGCCACAGCCATTTAGGATGGAATCACCGCATGTTCTCCCAAGTGACGTTGTGAGTTTTGAGGTACGCTTCAATGAGTGCTTTATCAGTCGGGTGAGGGACAAGCATTGCGTCGCGCAGGGCTTGAAAAAAAGCCTGCCGCAATCCATGTATGCGTGAGATATAAATCATGTGAAATACGTGGAAGGCATCTTTGAGAACACGACTACGAATGAGCCATGCATAGACGTGGAGTACTGCGGGTCCTAAAATGGTCTCCCCTTCAGTTGCGCTTGCTGCATCTTGCTCTTGAGACAGTTCAGCATTGGCATCGGGAACACTATCATCACTGTCGGCAATATTCAAGCCTTCTGCAACACTGATCATCTCAACACCATGTTCGTCCAGGGGAGGCCCAAAATCAAATGGAGGTTGAATATTCGGCTCTGGCTCCGGGGTGTTAGGCATTGGGGAGTCGTCTGGCCGAGTGGTGGAAGTGATTGGCTTTATTCGAACATGACTGCGATGTGCAAGGATGTCAAAAGGAGGCTTGCCGAAATCTTCTAGAGATAGCTTGCGGCCAGTGCCCCTTTCTTTATTTTGGCCAATTATCGCACCTGGAAGCAAAATATCCTGGACAGTTATGACTGTGCGAGTTTTCGTAATATTTTCCCCATTGAATTGGTGCTCAGATGCTGCTGCTGAAATCACACCTTGGGCGGCAAGTTTCCTGTTGTCATCCGTGATTAATAGAACTGGAGTGCCACAAGGTGTTTTTGCTGTTGTCGGAAGTGGAAGGGGGAGAGTTGTCTTGTTGATCTCATGGTAGAGCAGAAGAGATACATATGCATCGCGAGCGGCATACTCCAATTGAGCATCACTGAGCTCCTGGTCAGACCAATTTCTGCTGACACGCTCCGTATCATTCTTCGGAAGGCATTGGTGAAGGATTGCGGCAAAAATATCAGCAAGCGACAAAGTCGCTTTCGTGATGAGAAAACGATCCTTTGCAAAGGCTGCTAGGTCAAGAGCCCCACGGAAATGGTTTGGTGGATAGCCGGCAGCCACAGCAAGCCGTTGTAAGTCACCATTGACTTTACGACCAGCTTTAATAACTTGTTCACTGTGAAGGAGATTGACGAGCTCTGCCGGCAGCACCTTGCGAAGTAGAATTTCTCCAATCTGAATATTGAGCAGTCAGTGTGAATTCAGAGAGTTCTTTAAAAAGAATAAAGGCCCACCCGAAGAACATGCACCCGGTCCTTGTAGGCAACTTGGGCAGTCGCCGGTGGACCTTGGCCAGATAAACGTCCGTGAGGTGCCACATCTACATTCCATTCTGAATCAAATCCAATAGCGATGTGGCCGTTGACTGGAATATCTTCGCATATGCTACGCATAACATTGTTGATAGAAATCTGGCTATCAAGTTGCTCAGGATGGCGGACAAAGTCCGGGCTGGCAAACATGGGAAGATGACTGTATTTCTCCACTGGAACTACATCTGCTCGGAGGGAGGGAAACATTTTCTCAAGCATGGGTTTATCACTCATGTTGTCAGTGTAGAACACTTCAGGTAATTCGTGGCCATAGATGGGGAGGTCGTCTGCAAGCCGCCGTAGTGCCTCTTCATATTGAGAATGGGACTTCGTTGCAACAAAGACACAGACACGGATTTCCGCTTTCTCATTTGTTACTGTGAGGAGTGCAGTGAAGATGGGAACACCATCAACTTTGAAGACATGCTTTGCGATCTGGGATATCCTCCAGCTCAGTGCACATTACCAAAATTGAAGTCACAAATACTGACCTTGTGGCTGTGGTCTATAGAACAGATTAGAGCAGAACACATTGCCATGTGTTGATTCATTGCGTCCCGGTGTGACTCGATGAATCCATCATACACATCTCGAAGCCATTGACCACTGGGTGTGAACCCATGGAAGCCACGTGAGGAACGGTCCTCAAATGGCAAAATGGTTCATAGACGTTCGAGAAACCCATCTGGTTAATTTTTGTACGCAGGTATTGCAATCGTAGCTCGTCGTATCGCCTCAGGTGCTGCATGCGAAACATATCGGCTACTTCCTCAGAGCCCATGCCATGCTGAAAGCATGATCTCACTACACCGAAAGCACGAGTAGAAAGTCCGCTACGCCAAGTCAAATGGGCTGGGAATTCTGCAGCAAGCGCGCGAGGTAAGCGCTGAAGGACCCGCTCGTCCCAGGAGCGAAACCGAGCATCACAGCCACCTGTAGCAGTTTTCTGACACTCGTATGTGTACCCAATTAACCAGAAAGTTGAGTCAACATCAACGACTCGGCGCGGGCGATTTACAACACCACTGCGAGTCAGATGGTGGTTGCAATTCGGTGTTGGGCAACGAAGCCTGTGTGTTTTCCCCAACAGATTGAGTGGGTCCCACACAAAAAAGTCCGGAGTGAATAGATCTGTTGGCTTGAGAGTTGTACCCTTCAGAGTAGACTAGACAGAATTGGCACGAATCCAGAATTGTCCATTCTTGTAATAGCGTGACTGACCCACAGACTTCAGATCATCCTTGAGCTCATCAAGCAGAGTATTGACTCGTTTTTGAAACCAGTCTGGAAAAGGCACTCGTGGCTGAGATCCAGAAGCATTCTTGTTGGGATCTGTGTCCCCATCCTCGTCGTTTTCGTTGCCAAGTCCGCCGCTCACAAAGGAAGTGAAATCATTTTGATTCTCTAAATCTGTAATAAAACCCAGAGGAGAAGTATCCAGTGTATTGGAAGCAGACAGAGGCAGGAGAACAGACACAGCATCAGGGACTGCATTTTGCTGCACACGCGCTCGGTCAATGACACTGCGAGCACGAGATGTGCTCGAAGCACCGGCAGCGGTGGCGGCATCAGCTCTCTGAGATGCTGAATCGGGTGGGGGGTGAAGAGGGGGTGCCATCTGAGCAATATTGTGTTGCGTAGCACCGGGGTGGGAATGGAGGGCTGTCTGTGCGACGACATTGCATTGTGCAGTACCTTGACCCAGGTGGGAATTGACGGGGGTCTGCGGGACGATGTTGCATTAGGGAGTACCAGTGTGGGGATGGGGGCCGCGGCAGCAGCTGAAACCTGTAAGTATTTACATTAGTATACTTAAATGAGAGAGGAAATGAGCACTCACCGTGTTTGTGAGCTCCTCGACCATCCCAGCGCTGTTGCGCTCTGATTTGTGATTGCTGGTGGCGCCTGAACATCCCCCAAAGCCATGGTGCGTACCGGTTGCGTGGAGGACTGATCCTTCACCTTATTTTCAGAGCCTTTCGGCTGGCCGCGTCCACATTTTGGCGGCGGCTCTGGGGTGGATCCAGACTCTTCAGAGGTGCCAAGTAGGGCCGGAGGGACGTAGGAGATGAATGTGAGGTCAGGCAGCGCCATACGGTAGGGAGGGAGCAAGAGAAAGACAAAAGAGAAGGCAAAAACGATGTGCAGCGGCAAAGAGTACAGCTTGGATCAAATTAGCACAGCTTGGATCAAATCCGACCCGTACTGCTCAAAACTTGCGCCGCAGGCCGGAAAAATATATTTTGAGTAGGCGGGGATGTAGATGTGAGTGTATACTGATCTCAATTCGAAATTCACAGAGGATGAACCCAAATGTCCTTTCTCTCTTCTCCCTCTCCCTCTTTCCTTTTTGGGATTTTATTATTCTGCTTATGAATTTACCCACAACACCAGTAACCGGCCGAAATTTGGGTTGGTTGTGACGAAAATTGCATTCGACAGACCCCTCCGTGACCCGTGACCCCAGCCATATTTCGACATCGACAGGGGGGGTCCGTGACCCGTGACTGTCGAATTGATCGTAATAATACAGTAGCTGGACTCTAACTGAACCAACCAGCTATTCGAAAAAAAAACCGAGGTCTGTCTTAAACACTCTCCCCAAAGCTGTGGACATGCAATAAAATGAGAAAAAGGTGACAGCCTGACCCCGAGTCGAACAGGAATCTTCTGCTGGAAGATTTAGAACAGTTCCAGTTAGAACAGCCGCACTAACCGTTGTGCTATCAGGCCATTCTCTACTGTCAGTAATCCTGACCTTAATGGCTTCGCAACAGCCTCCAACGTGGAAATGAAAATAAATTAAGAAGAGGTGAGGGCGAGGCGAACAGGGATCTTTGAATCCCATCTCGATATCTGAAAAATAAAAATAAAAAGAGAGCATCAAACTCGCGCGGATTATGTAAATCTACTACTCAAACCAAAAATGCACTGCAACAATCCATCCAACGGCCCCTATACCCTACCCGATTGGCAAGTTCAAACGCCACCTACACGAAACAGCACATGTACATACTGCGCGAACACGCATGAGTACTAGCCATCGATACACTCCGAAGGACCTAAACCCAAATCAAACTGACCGACGAGACAGAGCATATTCACCGGCCAGGCCGCTCTGTCAAGCCTGAAGAGCCCGCAAAACACAGAATTCACTGCTCGAATGTTGGTTGGAAACATCGCAATGTCTGATGGAGCGAGTGTATCACTGGCAAGTGCTTTCTCAAACTAACCATGTCCATGAAGTCTGCGAAACAAGATTTGAATAGTGAGTCGATGTCACTTTACCTTTGAGCAGCAAAACATAATCTGATTCTCGTAATAGTAGCGAGCGGGTGGGGACACATGTATGATATTGAAACGAGGCAAAGCTGCATTGCAGTCCAAAGTAAAACATCGGGAGTCAGGTTACGCTCCCTCGAATCAACTTCATTGTATTTTTTTCTAGCCGGCACGACGGGTTGGTACTCAGTTTCAAGTTACGCGCGGGGAGAAATACTCTCGAAGTTTCAATCGCGGATCCGGCAGGCATGTCTATCCCATTTCGAGACAACACCCATAGAGCTCGTCGGCGGTGGCGCTCACTCATTTATAGGACGCCGTAGGCCCGTAATATCTATGCGAGTTCTGTAGTAGACTTAAATCGAAGGGCCGAGCGCGCCTAGGACAAGTCTGCATCGAGACTGAGATATCATCCGGGTGACCTCGAGTGGTGTATTCCAAGCTGTATTCGTTGTTTGAGCTGAGATTGACGCCCTTGAACACAATCATCGAGTGTTCGCATGTAAATCCCAGTCCTCGAGCTGGAAACTTGTAGGCGCAATAAATTAATAGTATGTCTGGGAAGCCGTCAAAATCCAAGATGCTAGTATTGTTCGAGGTTTCTTTCTAAGTGGACGCTGAGGAGCCGTGAAAGATGGGAGGAAATGGCAAGAGCAGTTGCTAAGATCAATTTTGCCGACAAAATATCTGCCAACAAGCGAAAAAGGCAAGGTTTGAAAATTTGACAGTTTCCCTGATCTCGGACGTGAATCCTTTAGTTAGTAGTTACTAGTTTGGCAAGTTCAACTCAAGTTCAATTCACCGTGGCGGTGTCACTGCGGTGATTGCCAAATTTTACCCGAGGAAAAAGGGCCTAGAATCGGGTTATTGACTTTCTCAGCCAAGATTTTACTCCGAGAAAATCTACAGTAAAATATGGACTTTTTCTTTGACATTCTCCTCCGGGAAAAGTCAAGATTTTACCCCAGGGAAGAAGTTGTAATTTTTCCCGCACTCTTTTCCGCCAGAAAGAGCCAGCATTTTAACAAAAGAAAGTTTCGGCCCGGGTTCCGGGCAGCACGGGGAAACCTCGGCCGAAATTTCCCTTCGTTAAAATGCTGGCTCTTTCTGGCGGAAAAGAGTGCGGGAAAAATTACAATTTTTTCCCTGGGGTAAAATCTTGACTATTTGCAGGGGAAACTATCAAAGAAAAAGTCCATGTTTTACTGTAGATTTTCTCGAGGCAAAATTTGAGCCTAGAAAGGGTATAACCTGATTCTAGGTCATTTTTCCTCCGGTAAAATTCGGCAATCGCCGCAGTGTGTTGATCGATCAAAGATCAGCGGACATCGCCACCGGTCCGCTTCTCCGCATAGCCGGTGTCGAATTACTGACAGTTAGAAACCTTTTGCGGACAAGGTCCTTCGCCCGATAAATCTCTCCTAAAAACCTGCGTCTGCTCCCTTCAATCCATGCGCCTTTCATTCACCGTTACCCGCAAGTTCCCCGTTGTCAAGGTCTACGAGGCTGTGTCCAAGCTGTGTCTCTTGTTTGTTGATTGCAGTGCGGTTTGCAGCGGCATATACTAAAGGGCACCCTGCCAGTGGTAATCATCCCCTCTTGCGATGGCACCCCCCAAGGACGCAACCAAGACCCCGCTGCGGGCGATTGCCACTGACAGCTCCAAGATGAAGCAGGCCGCGAGCTCGACCCTCGAAGATGCCCTGGCGATCTTCGAGCTGCTGAGCAACCTGACGAAGGATGTCCCATACCTCAATATTATAATGGGCTGCATCCAGAGACTCGTGGATATCCAGAAGGTGCGTTCGAGCCTTCATTGCTGGTTGAGGTCTCATCCATTGGCGTGCATAGACGATGAAAGCTAACAAGGAGCGTGCGCACGATCTGCTCAACAAGGTCGGGGAGGTTTCCCGTGTCGTAGCGCAGGGCCTGTACGATCTGGATGAAGACACGCGGAATGTTGCGATGAACCGCCTGAGCGGCGATTTACAGCGATATGAAACGTAAGCGCTCTGGGTGTCCCGAGCAACATAATAATAATTCGAGACAGCGTGTTGAACGAAACGCGTCAAATTCTGGAGCACTGGATGGCCAAAGGCTTCATCAAGCGGGTCGTCGCACACGGAGACTTTGCTGGAATAGCGGATGGCATAGAACGGAGAATGAACACATTTCACGATGCTTTCGAAGTGCGTGCCCCCGTGAATTCATATTTCTGGGGCTGATGTTACAAAACATGAAGGTTTCACGTCTGATCGCCCTCTCGAAGGGCCAGGATACACTTGACGCGAAAATGTACGTGACTCCACGCTACACGGACTATTTTCTCACTCACTTCAGACAAACCTTGAATGATCGTGAGCTACGCAAGAAGCTAGACGACTGGCTTCGACCGGCGAACGTGGCCGTCAGCCAACGGGACGCTGCAAACAAACGCCACTCCGATACCGGAAAATGGCTCCTCGAGCGTTCGGAATTCCAGGACTGGATTTACTCGCAGAAATCATTGCTCTGGCTCCAGGGAATATGTCAGTCAGCTTCTCGCCCATCACCGTAAAATTACTCATCTGTTATTTCTAGCTGGGTCGGGGAAGACTGTTCTAAGGTACCTGCACTGGATACATCATTTATATCCGAGCGGCTCACCGATTATGTAGCTCCACCATCATCGAGACCCTTCGGGTCCGAGCAGAATCACTTGCATTCTTCTACTTTGACACAAATAATCTGGAACAGGTTACCGTCACCCAGCTTCTGTGCTCGCTGGTTACACAGCTCTCTGTTCAAGCACCTGCACCCGACAGAACACTGAATGCCCTTTGGAGTTCCTATGCTAATGGTCAACATCTCCCCCCCGATTCCGTGTTAATTGAGCAGGCATTGCTCCCGATCCTCAGGGAATTCACAGATCCTGTGTACATTGTGCTGGACGCGCTCGACGAGTGTTCAGAACGCGAGAAGCTCCTCCAATCACTCACCAAGATCCTGGATGCGGGGCTGCCGAACGTCCACCTGCTCCTGACCAGTCGACCGGAGGTGGTCCTTCACAGCAGCAACGAGCTCTTCCAACGTGCGGTTCACGTATCTCTTGAGGGATGCGTGGATCAAGACATTAAGGCCTACATTACCGAGATACTGTCCAAGTTGGACATAGAATGGCCTGAGGAACGTAGAGCGCAGATTAAAAAGGGACTGCTTGAGCGGGGTGGCGGCATGTAGGTCCAACCAGTTTATTTTTCAACACCACCCAATTAATTCCCCAGGTTTCGCCTTGTGGCTCTCCAGCTTGATGAACTCCGAACTTGCGACGGTCGCGAATCACAGGTCACCAAAGTACTGTCCGAGCTGCCGACGTCCCTGGATGCGAGCTACGACCGCATTTTGGAAAACATCAAGGATGAAGACATGCTTTCGAATGTTTATCGCATGATGAATTGGATGTTGTTCTCCAAACGACCCTTGAAACTCAAACAGATCATCGACTCGCTGGCGTTCGATTTCGGGAAACAGCCACTCCGCTTCAGCTCCGCTGAGCGAATGCGACCCCATGCCCTGCTGGATGCTTGTGCGGGCCTCGTCGCAACATCAAAGTCTGAATGGGGCGGCATTTCCATAAAGGTTGCGCACGCCTCGGTCAAGGAATACTTCCTATCCTCAAAAAGGCTAAGAGGGCTCCATAGCGATTGTCAAGTTTCCGAACAAACGGCACACTATTGGATTGCACGGACATGCATTGGATATCTTTGCAGCTTCGAGTGTGTCATTGACAACAACACTGATCTTGAGCAATATCCTTTGGCCCAGTATGCTGCACGATACTGGGCTTCCCATCTCACGGACTGGGACGAAATTGGTCTGGACCGATGCAAAAGCGCAGATAAACCAAGTATGCTTTACAACTTTGATGTGTTTCTTCTGTTACATTCGTTGTTGTCGGCTCTTATTCATGTATTGAGTCTGTTTGTAGAGGTGAGTTTTTCTCCCTCTTGGCTTTTGTATTGTGAGTTTACTTGTCAATACAGGGGATGATGATCCTCCCGAGAACAAAGACAACGACTGTTCCAAAGGTGCAGGGAACCAGTTCTAGCCGCCTCGTTGACACAGTTCTGGAACTTGTCCAGTCGGACAGTGCACCGTACATGACTTTATCACGCCTCTGGGACAATGAAAATCATCCGAGCTTCTTCGGCCATCGGAAATCGGCACCGATTGTTCCTCCATTGTGCCTGTTGGCTCAGCTAGGAATTGGCCAAGTAGTATGGGAGTTGCTCAAGCAGGGTGCCGATGCGAACACCGAGGGTGGACGCGATGGCAATGCCCTGCAGGCGGCCGCCAAGAGAGGGCACACCAATATTGTGCATCTTCTACTCGAGCATGGTGCAGATGTCCACGCACAGGGAGGGGAACAGGGAAACGCGCTCAGTGCGGCGAGCTATGGGGGGCACACCGAC